TAGAATCCCCCAGTGAGGGGCTGGGGTGTGGCTCAGTGGTAGAGCACCTGCCTAGAATCCCCCAGTGAGGGGCTGGGGTGTGGCTCAGTGGTAGAGCACCTGCCTAGAATCCCCCCAGTGAGGGACTGGGGTGTGGCTCAGTGGTAGAGCACTTGTCTACCATAAATGAAACCCTAGATTTAATTCCCAGTACTCTAAACAAAATAAAACAAAACCTCAAAAGGGGGAGAAAACAAATCTCTCTCTTTCCTGAAGCTAAAATTTCTGATTTCTAATTCCTGAAACCTTGGGCATTCTTGCACCTTCTTCCTGAATCACGCTGCATGGCCATTGGCTGGTCAGGGTCCTCTAACAGACTGTGCAAAGCACAGGATCCAAAAGCATGGACTGGGACACGGTGTCCACACAGGACTGTGGTCTGCAGTCTTGGTACAGCTCTCACCTCTCTGTGACTGTCTCTCTCATGGCCCTGTGAAAACAGGGCTGCCTGTGATGACAGAGAATGCCTCTCTCCTGGTGGCTCTGTTAGGGCCTTAGAGGTGACAAGGATATATGTCTGGCTGCATCTTTAATCCTTGTGCTGGGGTGTTGGGGAATATTATTTTAAGGTGTAACATTTGTTTATGTTGCGTTTGTTTAACTCTGTGAAGCTGTGTTACTTTGCCTGTCTAAAATGCCTGGTGGTCTAATAAAGAGCCGAACAGCCAATAGTGAGGCAGGAGAAAGGATAGGTGGGGCTGGCAGGCAGAATTGATAGGAGAAATCTGGGAGGGAAGAAAAAAGAGCCAGAGGAGGAGGAGGACATCACTGGTCCGCCACCCAGCTACACAGCAAGCCATGGAGTAAGAAATAATGAAAGGTGTACAGAAATAGAGAAAGGTAAAAGCCAGGAGGCAAAAGCTAAACAGGATAATTTAAATAAAGCTGGTTAGTAACAAGCCAAGCTAAGGCTGGACATTTATAATTAAGAATAAGCACTGGGCAGTGGTGGTGATGGCCTTTAATCCCAGCACTCGGGAGGCAGAGGCAGGCGGATCTCTGTGAGTTTGAGGCCAGCCTGGTCTACAGAACGAGATCCAGGAAAGGTGCAAAGCTACACAGAGAAACCCTGTCTGGAAAAACCAAAAAAAAGAAAAAGAAAAAAAAAAAAGCTTGAATAAGCCTCGTGTGTGATTTATTTGGGAGCTGGGTGGTGGACCCCAAAAAGAGCAAAATCAAGCAGTGCTGGGGAAACAGAGGCAAGCGGTACCTGTGAGTTGGAGGCCAAGCCTCTTTTCCCTTTTATTTTGGGACGAGGGCTCGCTAAGTTGTCCTGGCCTTGAGATGACGTTGAGTCCACCCGCGTCAGCCGCCCAGGCTGCTGAGGTGACAAGCCTTTGTCACTAGATACGGTTTGGTTTCATTTGGTTTTTATATTTGGTTTGTGTTTGTTTTTTGTGTGGTTTCGTTTCCTGCTGGGCAAACATTCCACCACTCTGACACACCATCTCTACTTTAAAAAAAAAAAAACATTAGTAAATGTTTGATTTTGCTCTGTCTTTTCTCCTTGAGCTAAGGCTTGTCTCGTTCAGCCTGGAGGTAAGAGGGGCTGAGTGGCAGGTTGCCAGGATAGGGTCGGGCCTCCCTCGGTGGTATCCAGAGGAGGGCAGAGAGAGAGAGATCAGGAACGTTCTCTTTCCATCAAGAGAGAGGGTCTGGGTCGCAGACTGTGAACAAGTCACTTCCTAGCAGCCTGTGTCTCAGAGGTGTGCGCCTTCCCACAAAATGCCTTTTCTCCCTTCCCTTCCTCATCAAGGAATGATCTCTCAGTCCTCCTGTCTCCTCCCGAACTCACCATCTGCAAAGCCCCGTCCACCCCCTCTCCCAGTGGCAACCACCTCCCAAAGCTACCCTGCCTTTGTATGTCTCCAGGCAACCCCCTTCTCAGGTCTGCGGCTACTCAACCATGTTTCCACTCCTCTCTGTCGCTTGGGACCAACCACATGAACCACACCAGGCCCTGGAATGGACGACAAATCATTCTCGAATCCTCCCCAACCCAATGATGAAGCGACAGGGGCCAGGCATGGTGACTCACTCCCGTCATCCCGGCACCTGCGGGGCTGGAGCGGGGGGACCATGACCGTGTGAGGTCCTGTCTTCAAGAAAGCCTGGAAGAAGGGCTGGAGGATGCAGCACAGTTAATAGAGGGCTTGCCTAGCATGTACAAAGCGATGGTTCCAACCGCTGTTATGCCCAGATTATGACCCCCCAAAGAATCCACCGTAGACCTTTGGATGTCCAGAATGCAACAGCAA